TTGGCCTGCTGTGTTCATCCAGCCCTGCACCTTGTTGTCTAAGACTCCAGAATAGTACATTTCCTCCTAGGTGCTAGGGTCAAGGCTGTCTCTGAGCAGTTACAGGACATTCTAGAGTGGGAGGGTGACCAGTCATTGGTTGTAATGCATATCGATACCAACAACATAGCTTTTCAAACAAAAAAGGATGAGGGCCAAAAAGCAAAATATAGGGATTTCGGAAGCAAGTTTAAAAGGTAGGTGGTGAGCTGTGAATTACTGCCAGTGCCATGTGCCAGAAACAGCAGGATATATCAGATGAATAAGTGGTTGGAGTGTTGGGGGAAGGGGTTTCATATTCCTGGAACATCGGGACTAGTTTGGGGGAAATGTCAGTACGAGCTGGGCTGTTTGAACCTGGACAAGGCTGGAACTGTTGTTCTTGCAAAAGTACTTGCGAGTGCATTTAGGAAGGGCTTAAGCTAAAGCGGAAGGTGTTTGGGAACCTACACAGGGCTTCACCTAAAGTCTCAACTCTCTGAAATGCCATAAGAAATCAATTTGCAATATGAGGAATCTTGTATCTGCCCACAAAATTCCTGTCACTTTTCCAAATCATAAATCCCTATGGTTGTAATTTATTACTCTTGTAGCACCCCTGTTTAATATGTACTATCTCTTCAGCCTGTATTAGAGAAATCTAATTCCTGTACTCCAACCATTTCTGCTCATTTGGTTTTTAAGCGCAAATGCCGTAACATCAATGTATAATGATAGGAATAGAATATTTGACTTTTAAAATGGATACATAATTTTTCCACATGCTGCAGTCCAATTGCTGACTGTCCACTAACCTGCTATTGATTTTATCTGTCTTCCATTGTCATCGTCAGAGTTATAGAGAGATACAGCATGGAAACAGACCCTTTTGGACCAACTTGTCCATGCTGACCAGATCCTGCAAAAATCTAGTCCTATTTGCCAGCATTTGGCCCATATCCCTCCTAAACCCTTCCTATCCATATACTTGTCCAGATCCCTTTTTAAACATTGTAATTGTACCAGCCTCCACTTCCTCTGGCAGCTCATTCCACATATGCACCACCCTCTGTGGAAAAAGTTGCTCCTTGGATTCCTTTTATATCTTGCCCCTCTCATCTTAAACCTATGCCCTCCATTTTTGGACTCCTCCCACCCCCCACACCAGGGAAAAGACCTTGTCTATTTATCCTATCCATGTCTCATAATTTTATAATCTACTAATAAGGTTGCCCCTCAGCCTCCGCTCCAGTGAAATAGCTCCAGCTCCCTAGAGCTCAAACCTTCCAACCCTGGCAACATCCTTAAATCTTTTCTGAACCCTTTCAAGTTTCACAACATCCTTCCTGCAGCAGGGAGACCAGAATTGCATGCAATATTCCAAAAGTGGCCGAACCAATGTCCTGTACAACTGCACTGTGACCTCCCAATTCCTACATTCAATACGCTGACCAACATAGACACAAATACCAAATGCCACCTTCACTATCCTATCTACCTGCAACTCCACTTTAAAGGAACTGTGAACCTGTTATCCAAGGCCTCTTTGTTCGGCAACATTCCCCAAGACCCTACCATTAAGCGTACAAGTCCTGCCCTGATTTGCCTTTCTAAATTAAAGTCCATCTGCCACTCCTCAACCCATTGGCCCATCTGATCAAGATTCTGCTGTACTCTGGAGTAACCTTCTTTGCTGTCCACCACACCTCCAATTTTGGTGTCATCTGCAAACTTACTAACCATAGCTCCTGTGCTCACGTCCAAATGATTTCTATAAATGACAAAAAGCAGTGAATCCAGCACTGATCCTTGTGGCACACCACTGGTCACAGGTCTCCCATTTGAAAAGCAACCCCCCACCACCATCCTCTGTCTTCTACCTTTTAAGCCAGTTCTGTGTCCAAGTAGCTAGTTCTCCCTGTATTCCATGTGATCTAACCTTTTATCTACACTTGACGACACCCCTCCTTCAATCTTGATTTGTTTATTCATCTCTCTTTACACTCGCATCATTTTTATTTGACATTTCTGAAAACTGTCCTGATGTAAGTTGAAATTCATGCTGCCAGGCTGCTGCTTGCCATTGTACTTTGTTAAGCATTAGCATAACCTCCTGTAATCTGGCTTTATCATTTTCTTTCTAATTACTCGGATTGTCCAGACATTAAAAATGACAAGTCTGCTGTTGTGTTGTGTTGCGTTGTCTTGTTCCTTTCTACACTTGCACTTGCGCTCACTTTCAGGTCCACTGGATAATAGAGAAAGGAGGAAATCGCCAAAGAACTTGCCGCCACCTCCCACCCAACCTGTTCCATTGCCCTATCTGAAATTCTGTGGCAAATGAGTGACTTCGCTGGAATCCAGCTGAAGCCAACTTAGTGCACACTGGAAATTGAACCAGGGAACCTTTGTCTGTACAGCTGAGTTCTGTCATGTAATGCATTTATCTGTTGCATTAACAGAATAACTTGTGTGTGGAGTGTATTCATAGTTAAAAGGTGACTGAAATACTTCATTTCAACAGTTATTGTAGCCTTGAGTCTTGTTTCAATGTTTCTCAAGTACAAATAAGTCATTTGTTTTATTTTTGATATATTCAGTTTGAACTTATTTCATGCTACAGAAAATTCATAATACAATGAGCAGTGCTAA